ACACAATTATCACTATGAACGTTTGATGATCAATTCTTTCTTTTCGATGTGAGGTAAGTGAGCGCATTTCAGTGAATATCACATTCTAATTCAGGCATATGATGTCATTTATACATGTATATGTGTACATCTGAGGTAGCCAGTTGATTTCTTACGATGAACATTCATTGTCAAACAATTATAAAATATATAAGAGACTTTAAAAAAAAATCGATTGGTCATTGAGCAATGACCAATGTAATGCTTGTCAATTAGTTCTTAGTACTAACTGAATTCTATCGATCAAATTTCACTCAACTAAGTTGACTTGATATCACGTGCAATATGTAGATAACTTAAGTGGGTGGAGGTAGTCAACAGAAAATATTGCCTGACCTTCCATTGCTTTTATTCGGAACTCGTTAGCAAGATATACCCGTAATCTTCACGGAACTGATAACGACAACAGGATTAGATTCCGTATCATGCAACAGTCAGAGATTTTACTACCGGTCTATTCTGGTTGGAAGTGACCTATTGTAGGAACGAGATGTATTTACACTTTACCGATAAGTACCAAATAACATCAAATCAGGGTTTCGTGTTGGCTGACTACAAACATATGAAAATTTAGTGACAGTTTGAACTAATTGGTTTAGTGGATTTATGGATTTATGAATTCGAGTTTCATGCTCAACATTAACTCAAGGATAAGTGGTCTATACTAGCTAATGAATCTCAACTAGGACGTAACGAGCATCCTTGATTTCACACAAACTAGCACTAAAATAATCGTTCATTACTTTACAATCTGTCTTATACATATTCATCTTCGATATCATTAGTCAAAGATTATTTTTTATTTTTTAAATGACATTTAAATGACAAAATTAACTATTATACTTTTGTCTTGTTTTAGTCACAGTATTTTCTTTCCTTAGTCTAATCTTATGGATTTATTCATTCATTCGTTTGATCGTGTGAACGTTTTTACAAACTATAGTTTAGTATTAAAACGTGTATAGAACATAGAATATTTGAACAATATTGGACACTGAACAAAAAATAATAATAATAATAATAATGAATTTTTCAAGATACATTTAAACAAATAAATATTTTCGAGTATCGATGAATAAGCTAGTTAAAACAATTGACCTCTAATGATTAATTTGAATAATGCAATGAGTAGACGGAGATTTTCAAAATTGTATGTGATACATTAACGTGTAATACATTTCAGTTATAATTTAAGCATACCTATACACTTCTTAAAGGATGTTTAAGTAGGGACGATGAAAGTGAACTAAGCAAACTGAAAAGTTGGAATAAATGTAGGGAAGAATCAATAAAACTATGTGAGAACCAATGTTTAAACGGCATGTTAAAAATGTACCTGAACTAGCTAGCTAAAAATAGGTGTTTTCTTAACAGAGGTATCACAGAGGTTATCTGTGATAAAAAGAAGGGTATAAATTATTGATTGCAAAAAATTTATCACAGTCTTTCATGTGATGAAAAGGAGAACAACCGACTTCCTTTACTACACGAACTTATAACAAGACGAGACAATAGTTCACTCAAAGCATACGCATAAAATAAGTAGCGTGTTACAAAACAACGATAAAATTACCAGGAAACATACTGACACAAACAATGAATTCATATGAATAGAGATCATTGTACACTTTGACAGAATCCTTAACAAAATGTAATTGTATCATTTGTCAGTTACATTTTTAAGTTTCATCAATTTGCTTGTCACAATAGACAAGTCCTCTTAGCAAATCAGATGGGGACTACATAAAAAACACCAATCTGAATCATAGCACTAAAAATATAATGCTCTAATCAGTTTGCTTCGATTCAAATTACTTTTTACATAAGTAATCTAGTGAAAAATGTGATTTGCATCAATCAGCTAAATTACATAGGCGTCGATTTATCACTGATCATATTTATGAATAAATCAATCAGGGGAAATGTTACGATAGGCAGTGTCATGTCTTTATACTGACCAATAAACAGAGACCACTCTTTTAAGCAACCAATAGGTAATAAGAACAAGAAAACTGATACTTTAATATTTGACAGCTTTAGCCCAATACTCACCAGTCCCGAATTCACAACAACACAACATCAATGATTATCTGTTCACAATTCGTTATCATATCTCAGATATTCATTGACATAAATGCAAAATCAGACTACATTAGACCAATACATGGAAATAACTAGCTATACATGAATGCGTCAAAAGTAGCTGTGAGAAAAATAGGTTTATAAGTAATAAATGGTCAACAAAATGAGAACAGTAAATTAATTGTAAGACAATAATTTATTGGTGATAAAAAAGGAATATGTTTAAATCTGATAATCTAGTTGCTCAATAGTTATATAAATAAGACTATATATACAGTATTAATAATGATAATATTAATAATAATAATCTGTGAATCTGTTCTCTAATTTACTATCATTTTCATCTTTATCGGGCTATGTCAAGCGTTGTGTTCCAGATATGAACACTCTACTTGTTAACTCTGTAGACGCTCTACTGGAGGTACAAGTGGGAGAGAAATTCTTTTATTCTAAAGATTACTGTACATACATAGTTACGTATATTTATACATTCTTTTCTCTTAGGAAATGAATTCATATATTGATTAATGATATACATTCCTCTTTTGATGCTTTTCTGAATCCCATCAAGTGTCCTTCTTGTCAAGCCACTTCTTAATGAATTTCTATATTAGGAAATATCTATTTATGTTAGGTCAGTGATAATTAATGCTGTCACTGATTCATTGGATCACAACAGTCTTGATCCCATGCGTTTCAATGAGAATAATTAGGATTACATGTATTAGTAATAATAATAATAATAATAATAATAATAATTGTTATTATTATTGTTATTATTATTATTATTATTATTATTATTATTATTAGTTTTACCGCTATTAGATACAAAAAGGACAGATCATTCAATGAAAATCAATATCGGCTACATGTTAGGGCAAACAAATGATCATAGTTTAAGATGAGTGGCTACAAATTAATAACTGTTTTACAAAACTTCAATTAACTAATATTTTGACGATAGTTTGACGATGACAAGTGAAAGTTTCGATAATATGTATATGCATAATGAGAATGACAATTACTAGGTTGACAAAAACGTCTGTCACTCTTTCGCAAAAAAAAACTCATTCATTGATATATTAAAATTATTCAATGAAAAAATTGGTGAATGAATCAAACCTTACATCATCTTACTAAACGTATCCTTTATGCATAGCTTAAATCATGAACCAGTCAAAATAAAATAACTGTTTAAAACCTGAAAGCACTGGACATGTCGCCCTAGTTTGCAACCCCTTTAAAGTGCCCATATACAACCTCTCCGTTCAGGATTGAAATCAAGACTTACCACCTCATGATTGAGCACCTCAATACTAGATCAATGAGTAGACGAATCTTATGTCATTCAATATGAGATATTGTGTGATACATATATGTGTAAATGTGTACGTGTCAGTTTTACAAAATTTAACTTCAGCACTGAAATTTTAATCTCGAGCATCATTTAGGAAATTTCGAACTAAACACGTTGAATCAATTAGATAAAATTGCTTTGTTTTAATTATTTAAACGGAAGTGACTATTAATGGTGGTTTTAAAACATTAACTATCAATTGCTTAAATGTAGAAAGTGAGTGAAGGTTTAATTCGGAAACGAAATATCAACCTGCTTCCAGTTTAAAAATAAAAATTATTTGATAGTAGTTTTATTTTATTCTCGGAGTTAGTTCTAATATGTAGGTGTCCAATGTAATATTTCTGACAGTTATGTCCAACCAATCAGAGAACAGCTTCAGTGCGCAACCAATCAAATTTCAATCCAGTACAAATAGTCGATACTAAATAGGCAAACTGATGAAGTGCTACCGACCCGGTAACACGGCCTTTTAGGGTGAAAACTCTGAGCTGAATCAGTGAGCTGAGAACATATCTCCAACATACTCATCTATCATCCTGATATGCAGACTAGTGAAAACCTTTAAGTGCAAAACCAAAGTCGACTAACTAATTTGTTCTGTCATATCTAAGCATCACAGATCTCCTGTTTAATAGAATATTTGACATTCAGGCTGAAGTCATTCACTTTTTAAGTCACCTAACCGACGTTCATCAATATAATGTTAAGAATTCGCAATTTATTCATTAATGTAGGATCGAAATTCGATGAAATTATATTAAGTCAACATTTAAAATTTTAGAATCTTCAAAGAGATCTAGATTATAAATACATGTAAAGAATAATGAAACACATAGATCAAGGGAAAACTCAATGTTCCTAATATATGGTGCGATTAAGTAGAAACAAAATCATATTGGATTTAAAAGTTTCTTACGATATAGTTAGAACTTATCAGTAGTCAAAGAACATTATACGTTTCTATATATCATACTTACATCGTTGAGAAGTAACACTCAGTGTCTTTATAGAAATTCATAATGCTTCACAATTATCCTAAAACATATTGGAAGAGTCCATAGATTAAATTTCTATGTATCCAAACTTGTCAGCCCTTAATAAATTCATGGAACTAAAAACCACACTGATATTTATTTTTAGATGTCTCTGCTCTTATAACACTTTTATCTGAATGAATATTCTGTCTTAACATGGATATCTTCTATTTACATCAGTGATTCATTCCAGTATGTTGTGCAGCGGAAGCTTTATTATCAATTCATTGAGTTGGAACCCAACATCTTGACTCAATGATGTTCACTTTCTCTAAGGTATCCCATTATCAAACATAAAAACAAGTTACTTCGCTAAAATCAATCACTGATTGAATATGTAATAGAAACTCATTTTATATTATCAAATAGTGTAAATAACCGATTAGAGCAAATAGAAACAAACCAAGATAATTTTGAAAACATCTTATCTAATATTGATCTGATTCAACAATAAATAATTGAGCATCATTTCAAACTGTACTAATTTACTTACGCTGATTATCATAATCCAATTGATCTGGATGTGAATGTTCGTTGTGTTGAAATTGTCCGGTATTTTGAATTTTTGAATTCATAGACGATGATAAAATAGCCTATAAAAATAATGAAAAATACAGTAATATTCATTCATTCATAGTTGTTTTGAATGTTTTGTGGAATAAATATCATAGCGGAATAGCAGGAATTCATTTTTCATACATCGATTCTCTTCAATTGTTTACAACTTAAAAGCAATTGGAAAGAAACAAGTGTATATATATATAATGTGTGAAAAATGTCTACAATAAACTGATTTAATCGGTAGAGATAGGACTCTAATATTATTAGATAACAACATAGTTTGGAAGAAGGCGATTTGTGGAGGGTGCATGTAGTTTCATAGTTAAAATCACGAACTAGATCATCATTAGAAACTTGGAAGCACTAGTCGGGCCGTTTCATCCGAGTATCTAACTCCAGACCTTCAATCTTGCATGCCAATGTTTAACCTCTAGACCATCAAGTCAGTATTCAATGATCTTAATGTCTAACAGTTTTTTCCAGGTTCTTAATGATAGTCTAGCATAGATCAGTTCACAATTTCAGCTATAAAGATAATTACTGTGTGTAGTAACAAGATTATGAGAAAAAAATTATGTAATAACTTATTGAGAAAATGAATATATACTGGTTGTATATTCATCAAGAATGTTACAAAAGTTTAATTAAGTGTGAGTGTGAGAAAGAGATATAATATATTGTTAGATAACGTGCTGAACTCCACATAAAATGTTATCAAACAGGGCATAGAAGCATAAAATGTCGATTATATTTTAGTGCTGTGATTCAGATTGGTGTTTTTTATGTAGTCCACATCTGATTTGCTAAGAGGACTTGTCTATTATGATAAGCGAATTGATGAAACATTAAATTGTAACTGGTAAATGATAGAATTACATTCTGTGAAAGATTCTGTCAAAGTGTACAATGCTTTCCAGTCATATGAATTCACTGTTTGTATCAAATAATCCAATCAAATATCATGACCCAACTTAAAACTTTACTAGTATAAATAAGTTTAACATGGCAATACAATAGTAGTCCTAATTTTTACTTCAACATTATTTCACTGATACCAACTGACTTCGGTTTCATGCAATTCGGTAAATATGGAATCTTTTTAAAGAAATTATGTTTCTACAGATGTCAACCCTTACATCAATCAATTGTCATTAGTTTTACTTTTTATCCAATTGTGTTCAGTTTCCATTTAATTCATAAAACATGCGAATTGTAATGCAATACTTAAGTGTTTAATGAAAAAATAAACTCAATGCCTAATTTGATTCATGTTAGTTATTAAAGTATTAAAAAGATCTATTGTGTAATTGGTGATGTTTTTTCTTTCTATTCAAAATGTAACTTTTCAACAGAAACAAAAATATCAACAAACCAAACAGTTGGAGATCTTGTGAACAATGATAGCCATTTTCCCTTTTTTTCCCGTTGTGTTTCACCATATGTTGAATCTAATGTGAATGTTGTTTGTAGCCAACTCTGTGCTTGCCTGAATTGTCTGAATTTATTTCATTAGGAAAAAAAGATGTGTGCGTGTGCATGTGAGTGACTCTGTGTCTCATAGATCGATACGCATACATACACAACACATCTGTTTATTAAATGATGTAAAATGACACTTTTGTGATAGGAACCAGCTTTTTCCCACCACCTCCCCACCCCCACTCCACTCCAGCCCGCACTACTATATCTTTGTCAAATTGTATATGAACTAAAATTCAGACAGTTGCCCTATCAATATTGTACCATTTCACAAGGTCATCATGATTTGAAATTTTCTCTCTTTTTTCGTTTGATTTTTTTCGAAAGATGTCGTGAGATTTTTCCGTGTAGGTGTGTTGGTTCTATGCTTATTCACATGACTATGTGTGCATATTTCATACCAGTAGAAGAAAAAAATATCAGATAATGTTGTAATACTTTAATTAAAGAGAAAAGTTAAGTATTCTCGTGTTTGTAGTTCCATTCATTTTTCCATGTTCAATATTTGTACGGAATCATGCATTTAACGGATGATTGTTGCATGTAACAGCGTGACTTCCACTCGATGATCATACCATGGATCAAACCAGAAAACGCTTATGTCTATCGATGTCCAAGTTGCCTTCATACAACTGGGTCGAGATACAGTAATTCATATTTCTAACTTCAACCAAATAACAAATTTATACAATCATTTTTCAGTAGCATAAGTGATAAATGCAGTTATCTGCATTTATCAGTTTACATGTTCGTGTGGACACACATAGAAAGGGACGAGTAATCGAAATTTGCATTCAAGGGTTATGGAACATGTATCTAAATGGCTTCAAAATCAGTTGACGTCAGATGAGCCGATTAGAGTGGGAAACAGGAAACCATGTTCATCTAACGCAAAACACATAACTGAGACAGGGCATAAGATCGACATCAAGATAGCTCTCAAAACATTGTACAGCAATCTTGAAGGACGAATTTTGAGGTTTACGGAGGCCATGGCTATTCGAAACAATTTGTTATAACCTCGAATTTACCCTGGTAATCTTTAAGCCTAGGGTAATGTGACAATTTTCCTACCCTTTCTTATTACGTTAATTTTCTCTCTCTCTACTTTATTTACAATTATCACCTTATGTCTATTTGAACTTTTATTGGATTGACCTTTTATTAATCTCCATATAAAATGCCTTGACAAGTACGTATGTATGTGTGACCAAATTGTTCGCAAATACATCACAACATTTTTCAGATCAGTTACGTCTTCACACTATTCTATCAACATCTATAAAAATGTATCTGAATGTCAGCTGTTAAAATCCTCAATAAAACATTGTATGAGCATAACTTAACATTTTTTTACCAAGATGAAAGTCCTGTAAAGATTGTTCAGTATTAACTTAAGTTAAATAATTATCCTTCAATTGAATCAAATGCACAAATTTTTTCATCTTATCGGTATTTTAATTCTAAATATACTTCTGATTCATTCAAAACATTTATGCAGAATATTTTTCCTTAAATCTATCATCTATCTGATATAAGAGACAGTCAATTTCAGCAATAACAAAACGGATCAGTCAATGTTGAAGATTATTCTTTCTGACTAAAAGCAGTTGCAAACAGATAAGCCAATATTATTATTATAGACCATTATGTTTTGAAGATAATTAACAAAATAATGTAAGTGTTAAATATCAGAATACACCAATAAAAACAAAATTATCCAATAAATTTCATGAGAAAAAAAAATTAATTATTGGTAGAGTAGAATCCAGCCTCAGCATTGTCAACATCAACTTTGAAGGTTCTATAGTAAGCAACTTTACCAATAGTTAACTTGTCATTTCACTTAAACCATTTTTCACATGTTAAACAACAAGACAATTTGTTTGTCATAGACACTTGAATGTGTTTACCAACCTAACTGCTCTTGTGGAATTAGTTTTGACTAAAATGTTTCTATCAATCTACCAACCTTTTGATAAAAAGCTGAATAACTGTTTTAGACTGTTTGTTTAAGTTATTTGATCACGTAATGAAGTAAAACGAATAAAAATTATATCTCAAAGCAAGAAACCACCTCAATTTTATTGTTTTAATTTAAACTACTAGCAATTAGTTAATAACATGCATAAATTACCAAAATATCCATAGTTTGTGATTTATACACTTTAAAATACTTTCGTTGAATAAAAATGATTTTAATATGCTTATAATATAAGTTAAACTAATGGATCATAGCGGATTACTGATGCTTTATGGATGTAAGTTTGTCACCTATGTAAAAAAATATCAAAATCTACGATTTATGTATCCTCACATCAATTTGATATCCGCTTTTGTCTACATAATTCAGTACTTATTAACTACTGTTATAATTTTTCTAATGTGAATAGCATTTAAACCAAATCTATACGTTCTCAGACAATACAATATTCACTTTAAGGTGAAACAGTCGGCTTACTTTATTGTGAACCTACCGAAACGGTTAATTATCAAAGGATTAGAAGAGTTTGCGCGCGAAACCGAGTTCGAATCTCGATTGTGTGGTTGTGGATGTTCACATTTAAAGAGTCACACACTTGAAAGGATCAGCTGTGAAGTCCTGCCTAGATTTCAGTGATTTTATGATCTGATCTTAATAAAATCCAACCATCTTTCGACCGTATATATTTGATTAGAAAAAAATTGATAAATATGCTGGGGTACAAAAATTTCAGTTATTTCTGAAAGTGAAAACTCTATCAACATGGTAGAATCGTGGAGGTAGTTCATTTTGTTTACATTAAAAGTTTAATTTCACTGGTATAACCATTAAACAGTCTTTACAAAATGTTTTTCTTAAAAGAAAAAGTCAAATTTTCACGTAATTAATACCCTGAATTGCCAATGACAAACAGTGAATACTGAATGTTCAATTTACATTGACGATTCGGGACATTTTCACGTTTTTGAAAGGCAAAGAATTTTTCTACTAGATTTCAATGACATCAGCTACTTCGTTGGAGTCTCGGATTAAAAACATCAACATCCCAATACAGGTCTTGCTAGCTGACGAGTCCAAAATAGGATGGCATACGCGTCCTGGATTCCACAGCTACCCACTATAAATCATTGGTTGTAATAATTTAACGTATTCAACATTTCTAAACAAAATTTTCAAGTGCACTGAAGTCATGAATTCACTTAAATATAAACAATATTTAAATGTATATTGTGATTACAGATTTCGCTTGATTTAATAAATTACTAGATTGTTTTTCACACAGGAATTTATTGATCAAATTACACTGATAATTTGATATGAAAGTAAGTATCAAGATTTTGGGCCAGAATTCATTTCATATATGAATGTAGTATTTAAATGATTATGTATGAATGTACAGGATGGTTAAAATGCAAACAACTGTTTTTATGCGTACCGCTAACATCAAGTGCCTGTAGGACACTCATGATAAAAATTCAATTAGTTGTTACTAAATAAGATATTCTAAATTGTAAGTTTTTATGAAATCAATAACTTTGAGTTTTCATACCACGGGGTTTATTTTAACTG